TATATATATATATATAGATCTATACATACATATATAGATATATATAGATAGATATATACGGGCATGCATTGGGAGGAATGCTTTGAGAGAGGTACCTAAGAAAAGAGCTACTTCAACAATCCTGATGTCCAGAATTGGGTACTGGCATAGATTAGACATTTATGTGCGACTTACCTAACAAGGTGGGCATGTAAGTCTTTAATATATAGGGTTGCTTTGGACCCACTGCCAGCCCATCAGGGTAATAAATGTGTTACACAAATATATGTTTATTGAAATAAATCTTCACTTCCATCTTTAAATTTAATAATAGATAATAATCCATTGATGTTCTTGTCTTCTGTGCTTCACTCTGCATCTCCCCATGGCAGGGGTTTACCTTTTGAGGGCAGCATGCTCCTGTGCCAAAGAGTAACTGGAACACTTCCCAACAGGTCACCAACATCAAAAAAGCCTGACAGAAGTATATAGGTACCAACAACAATAATTCACAAATACGTGATACAAGAACAAGGGGTATAATTCACCTGGAAACACTAAGTAGCTGCAAAGATATGTACAGTTTTACTAACACTTGCCAAAGCTTGGTTCAGGTGTTAAAAGAGAACTATGGTGTAACCTTTTTTCCCTATAGTTCTCTTCAGGGTCACGGGAGTACATATACTAACCTCCTCCCGTGACCCCAAACTCAGTATATAGCAAGCTATTGCCCGCTATATACTGAGAGCCCCGCAGCCAGGACAGATCCCGACACTGTTGAGATCCACCCCGTTGGCTGATTGACAGCGGGCTATGCTTATATAGAGGTAGAGCCAGCTGTGCCCGCCCCCTCCCCTGTCTGTTCCTCCAGTCAGCGCCGCAGGATAGGGGAGGAATCCCTGCGTGGAGAGGTGACTGACAGTCACCGCTCACTGCAGGGAGATGATCGTGACGTCAGCGACCGGCAGCATGTGTTCGCTGACTTCCCGATCAATAGAGCCGACCTGTGACAGCTTCAGTGTCACAAGTCGGCTTGAATAATGGGGATGAGTGTTTTTCACTCTCCCCATAATTCTGCTTTAAGGTTTATTTTGCCTTCCATCATTAAGGGGTTTAAAAGCAACATTTGAAATTGCAAAAAAATGTACAGCATTTTGTTTGCCTTATAGAGTATATTATTATTCAGAAATGGATCTACATATTATCCTGTGTGCATTTATTTTAGGCTGGGAACAGATGTATTTGATATTTTCTCTCACGGTCAGTTATTTATAGGATGTCTAGTAACAAAGCCATGTTAAAAATGATGTTCATTTCATTGTTACTTGTACTTTCTTTCTGCAGGAAACATGAATGTCATTACTGAAAGACAAGGCAGCATCTTAACAATTGGTATTAATAGGCCGGAAGCCAGAAATGCTGTCAATCCCGAGACTGCTGGGCAGCTCGTCCAAGCATTTAATGAATTTGAGAAAGACCCATCCCTAACAGCAGCTGTACTTCATGGATTAGGTGAATATGTTTAATTCTTATGTTTGGAGCAGAAATCGGATCAAAGTTTAATCGAGTGTAGTGATGTAGAAAGAAATCTTCCAATTTGATTATAAGATCCATGTGAATTCTTTGTATGTAGAATTTGCTCATTTTAAATGAGAACACAATCCCAACTTGGTAAAATGTGATTAAGGGTGGTGGGTGATTATTGCATTTTGTGCGTGCTATCAATCTGTGCTGTTTATTTTCTTGGTGATTATCTCACATTTCTGCTGTCTGTAATTAAGAGCCTTTTAGGCCCAATTTACACTGACACTCCTTTAGCTTTTCTAAATGCGGGGGAAGTTATCACCTTTAATGTTTTCCAGGTCACTTTTTCCTGCATTTAGATGATCCTGCTTAAAGATGTTTAGATACGTTTACACCGATTTAGAGATTCTAATCAGATCCCGGATGCACAGAATTCTGTGTTCTCTAAACGTAGCTAAACTGAATGCAGGTGAATGCAACTAACTAACTACCCATCAGGGTGTTGTCTCGTTTTTGGAACTTCAGTCTTCACATAAGGTTCCACACTCTGAATTTTTTTGTTACATCCAGCTTTATCATTATGTGCAATCTATGCTCAATTTCTGTCCTCCCCCTGATCAGTTTTATGTAGACGGGCAGAGGTGTATTACCATGGCCATGGATTTCTTATGCTTGTCCTCAGTGCTTTGAGGTGTCCCTTGTATCTTCCTAACTGACTGATTCTGAGCTTCGAGTGCATTTGCCTCAAACTTTTGTCTCTGACTGTTTTTTCTGACTTTCTCTCGTATCTGGTTTTCCTCTGCTATTTGTGTTTTCTTTTTACTCCTCTTTCTCTTCCCCTTCTTTCTCCCCTTCATTGTGAACCTTTTCCCCTTCTCCCTTTTTCCCACTTGGCATTCGTTTTACCAGCTCGCCTTTGCTTGTTTCTTGGGTTCCCCCCGCCCAGGAATGACATTCCTGTGGCACTCCATTTTATATATAAAGTGACATTAAAGGGTTTTTCTCTCCCCCTCCCCAATGCTGCTGTAAGCACTTACCTTATTTGATGCCTCTTGCTGCGATCATCTTCCTTTCACTAGTTTCCGACAGTCCCTCCAGCGCTGGTGCCGGTTTCTGATCCAGCGCAGACTCCTCGTGTCCCACAGAGTCTGTCTGGCATGCACACGCCCGGCTGTGTCCATTGAGCTTCAATATCTGTTTTCATCCTCTCCCCTCTACTGCACATACGCACGCACACTTCTTCACAGCCGTTCGAGTGCTTCAGCCAGTAGCGGGCGACGCTGGAACAAGTAAGTAATTAGGTATTTGCCTACTTTTTTTTTAAATCATGGGTCATATATCTACTGCATGCTAGCAGTAGGTATATGCCAAAAAAGAAAGACTTTAATACTACTTTAACCTCAAATTAGCCACAACGTTTGGCAACGTATTTGGGCTGCAACTGTAGACAACCAAGTGGATACCGGTGGGCCTTAAAAGAAAACTGGGGTAACCTTTTTATCCCATAGTTCTCTTTACGGTCACTGGGGGACACATACTAACCTCTTCCTGTGACCCAAAGCTCAGTATATAGCCGGCTATTCATATTGCCCTCTATATACTGAGAGCGACGCAGCCGGGACGGATCTCGACAATACTGTTGAGATCCACCCAGCTGGCTGATTGACAGCAGGCTCTGACTTGGGGTCTGTGCCAGCCCCCTGCCCTGTCCATTCCTCCACTCAGCGCTGGAGGATCGGAGGGGGGAATCTCTGCAGGGAGCGGTGTCTGATAGTCACGGCTACAGTCCGTGTACCCATCGCACTCAGAGCCGCTGCTTCAAAAATGGAGGGTGGTTGCAGCGGGTGGCTTCCGACAAAATATCAATAAAGGATGGACACCGGCACTCCAAAGCAAGTTCAGTACATGTTTATTAACGTACTAGTTGCAAGTAAAATATTCTATACAATGTTTCGGGGTCTCACAGGATCCCCTTCATCAGGCAAACAAGTCTGCCTGATGAAGGGGATCCTGTGAGACCCTGAAACGTTGGGGGAGATGATCGGGAAGTGAGCAAGCAACGGTATGTGTTCACTCACTTCCCAATCTATAGAGCTGACCTGTGACAGTTTCATTATCCCAGGTTGGCTCTAACTATGAGGATGAGTTATTTTCACTCACCTCATAGTTCTCCTTTAAGGCTTTACCACACAAACCCCTTTCAGGGTTACCTTGATTTAAGCATTTTAATTTTACGATTGATGTAATCCGATTCTTCCACTGCTTGTTGGTATTCTTAATTAATGTTACATTCTCTGGTAAACCAATAAAAATTTTGTGGAAGAAAATCAAATCCAGGCATTTATATGAGTTTAGAAGTATTCTCTGAATGCAGGAGTGTTTCTAACAGGCTATATCCATGCATATCTTCCAGTTGATTCCATGTTTAGACGATAGAGAAGAGCTTCAAGGAAATGCAGGGAATTTTATTTTGTCTGGATGTATTTACTGAGGTTATTTTAAACACTGGTATTGTAATGATGTGTAATCTTTGGTTTAAAACACATTAAGTTATACAAACATCAAACATTTTAAATCATTGTAGCAGTGACATAGTAGAGGAATATGCAAAGCATGTGTGATTGTCACCAAATCTACAGCCATCCTTGTGTGCAGTTGAAACCTAGGGAGCCTAACATTCAAAAGGAGCCAGATACTATAGCGTAGCTGCCACTGCTTTTTTGTTTTATTAAAGTGAATTCACTAAAGTTGTTCTTTTGTGTGTCCTCTGTTATTTACAACTGCTCACCGCTTTCCTAACCTCGGCCTTGACAGCTGGAGCAAACTAATGTAGCTAAGGCTTGTGTAAACCACCAGGTGGCAGCACATGTATTGTTCATAGTTTCCTGTACAAACAAATGTACCGCAACAAAGTGTAGCAGAAATATTCCTTTTCAGAAAGGTGCATAATTATGGATTACTCCTTTATGGCAAGGGGTGAGACTATAATATTTGTTCTTAATTCTTTTTCTTTGATTATAATACCTTTTATTAGAATAAATGGTGTATTTATCAATTATTCAACACACATTCTGCCTAGTATTCGCCCATTGTTTACCAAGTTTAGATTTTTCCACAATCCGTCTATTTAGTACAGTGTTTTTTATACAAAATCCACCCAGTGATAATAGCATCAAACAAGATATACCCAACAACTGTTCTTCAGTGGAGTGCTTTAATGTACTAGTCACCCTACTTATCACTAAGGGCTCATTCACACCATAAACAGTGACTGACAGTTTTTTAGTAACTGAGCAAAACCAGTCAGCACTAGGGCACATAGAAAACAATTGTTTTTTATGTGCTATATTCACTCAACAATGCAGTTGTGATGTGCAGTGCGCTGCAAAAAAATGCAGACATGCCGAACTGCAGGTCACCAAACCGCAGCACAATACAACTTTTTTGTAAAAAACACAGCTTTTCTTCTTCTCCACAAAAGGGCAGACATGCATGTCTGGTATCTCCATATCAAGGGAGCCACAAGCGTGCTATGCTGATACCAGCTCACATACCCTTTAGTATTGGTGGGGTGCTGTGAGGGGGTTTCCCCCCAAAATAACAGTCAGCCTAGCACAATGATCACCAGGATCTTTGTCACCCCCTGTGCCTAGGAGGTGGTGCCTGCAAGGGGAGAAGTTCATGTTCTACCAGCTTGCGCCATTATCAAGTAGTTGGCCACCCCCTCCCCAATAAACTGGTTTTAGGGGTCCTTCCAAACCATTAATCAGTCCACCAGTGCTTAGCCCCATATATTGCAATACATGTGGGACCAATGAGAACAAGGTCATCCCCTTTTGCTTAGCACCTACAGCAGCCACAAAACATAAAATACCAAAAGGCAAGCTTTGTTCCACACTACAAATATAGATGTGATGCTATATATAAAGATGACACCAGGGGGTTGATTTACTAACCTTATAAACACGCCACGAACAAGTATACACCTCTGTAGTGTGTTCCCTCCCAGCATGATCTATTGGTGGAATCTAGACACCTTTGTAGTGTGTACACACCCAGCAGGTGTGTTGTGCAAAGCCCTGCATGAATTTCAAGGGGATGTTGTGTAAATTAGCTCTACATTGTGTTGCTTGCGTTGATGAATGCAGGAATGTAAATGCATGAGCTAACCATTTTTGTCTAAACTGTGAAGCAGCATTATATATGCATCATGTGCATGATTTTTCCATATATGGCATTAGTGGAAATATGCTTTTAGAGACTTTTTGGTTGATAAATATGTTTTGCTGTGTAAAAATCACACGCACCTAGTGCGTGCGTGTGTTTAGGTTAGTAAATCACCCCCCAGATGTCACCAGGAGCCATAGTGTTTGGTTCCCAGGGACTTTAGACTCTAGATAGCATTTTAACATTGTGTATCAAACATATAACTCAGGTAAATTCTTTGGGGTTTCTTATAAATATACTAGGGGGGAATTTATCAAAACTGGAGCTTCTCCCTTCAGTTTGTTCAGTTAAGATTTAAAAATGAAAGAGAGAAGCTGATTGGTTGGCATGGGCAACTGCTCCAGATTAGGCCTGCACCAGTTTTGATAAATTCCCCTCAATGTATCTAAATAAAAAAACTTTTTTTGTTTTGGACATAATAACCGGGAATAACCATTTTCTCTGTTTGTTCTGATGGCCATAGTCACTAGGACTAAATGTGAGGGAAAACCAAAATCTTGGGTTGTCACCAGAATAAGCTACAGAAGGGAAATCTTCCAATGAAGACACTTGCTCGGGTGACAAATATCTAAGAGAGGATTTCCCTCCTTTTTCAGAGATTTCCTCTCAATTCCTGTTGTGTCAATAGTCCAGGAAGTGAAGAAAAATCTTGTTAGTTCGAATCTTTCCAAGTAGAATCTTTATAGTGCAGTAACAGCTATTTTTCACCCGTGTTAAAACCTTTAGGGGGACTCTTGTTAAATAACAGGAATGTCCTTGCC